CTGTTTAAGGCACAAAAGCAATCTTTTTTTTTCTTTTTTTTTGGCACTAAAGCAATCTTATAAATGAATTGAAAACATTTATTGGGAGACAATACAGAGCATGGTTAAGAGAGTGGAATGCTGGAACCACCTGCCTACATTCAAATCTCAGCCCTCCACTTCCTATCTGTATGACCTTGGCAACTTATTTTATTTCTCTGTGCCTCAGTTTCCCTTGTGAGAACTGGATCCATTGACATATACAAGGTACTCAGAAAAGTATTAAGTGCTTGCTATTATTACTATTTTTAAAACATGTAAGAACCAGTCTTCCCAAATAAGCCTTACCCTCCTCTTCATTCAATATTAATCAACAGACACGGAGCACGCACTATATGCCAAGCACTGTGATAGGTGCTAGGGGATATGCATAGGTAAATAAAGACTGGTCCTGCCCTCGTTGGGCTCAGAGTTTGTTAGTAATCATAAACACGCCTAGGATTCATGTTTCAGGGAGTCCAGGTCTCAAGAAATGGGAAAGGGGCTGGCCAGGTGGATGGCCCCAGAGTAGCAGCTCCTCACATGGATGTGTAGGCAGAAACAAAAGGAAGGGCTCCCTTTCTGGGTTAGCACCCATGGTAAGCAAACAGCCTACTACCTATTCACACTTCATTTCTGAAGGCTTAATAAGCAATCCCAGATTCTTGCTGTGAGCCAGGAAGCTGTAAAACTAACAAGACCCCTCATGATGTAGCCCCTGCCCGCCTCTCTTGCCTCAGCTCTGCCACCAACTAACCTCCCAACCCCCCTCCCTTCACTCCAGCCTTTCGGATCTTCTAACAGTTCTTCAAACATGCCAGGCTGTCCCATAGCTCAGTGCCTGCACAAGCTGTCCTCTCTGTGGAAATGCCTTCTTGGGCTACCCAATTTCCACTTGTTCTGAAGATTCAGGTCCAAGGGTCTCTTCCTCTAGCACATCTTCGTCAACACTCAAACCTGACTGAGGGGCTCCTAAAATGTGCTCCTACAGCACTTATCACAAAAGATGGCAACTGTAGTCATTGACGGCTGTGTCTTCTACTAGGTTACCCACGCCTAGAAGGCAAGGTGGTATCTTGTAGAGTTTTGTAACCTCGGCCCCTAACAAAGGGCTTGGCACGTTGCAGGTGTTGGGTAAATGTACCACTGGGAACATCTGAAGGGCGCTGGTTACCCCTGTTCACTCATTTCCTTGCTGCCAGGCTTGGCACTGTCATCATCAGCCTCCTTCAAATGACCAAAATGCTCCATAAAGAAAAATCTTAATTAAAAAAAAAAATCTTTACTCAAATGTCACCTTTTCAAATGAGGCTGACCTTGATACCCTATTTAACATTGCAACCTCCCCTCCACCTGACACTATAATGCTGGTCACCCTATCCTCCTCTACCTTTTCTTATTTTCCACATATACATTATCTCTAGATCCTGGTTAACAATCCTGCAGTGTAGGTATTTTAATCTCCCCCTTTCCTCTTAGTAATCTCTACCTTCCCCACCCCCGAGGGAGGGTTAGCTTGAACTAACGCCTGAGATCAAGAGTCACACACTCTACTGCTGAGCCCGCCAGACGCCCCTTTAATCCCATTTTGTAAGTCAGAAACTGAGTTCAGAGTCTAAATTGTGTGCTCCAGGGGCGCCTGGGTGGCTCAGTTGGTTAAGCGGCTGCCTTCGGCTCAGGTCATGATCCCAGGGTCCTGGGATCGAGCCCCGCATC